AAGTATTCTCACAGTGTTGGCAACTATGCCCAGGTGGGAAAGTTTGGGCTCCACACTCTGTGCGAGGTCTTGTGATGAGCTAACGCCAGCTCCTCCATGCTCCTTGAGAGTGGCCACAGGCTTTCTGGTAGGCCTGACAATGTAACAAGCATTTCTAAGTCCACTACATTATGTCGCTTCATCGATAATGTTCTCTGAAGCTGAAACGTATGTACAACCTCACCCTTCAGCAAGCTGGTATCTGTGCTACACTTTTTCCTTGCCTTGGTTGCAGGTCACTTGTGTCTGGTGTCTCTCTCCACATGCAGATTTTGTCTCTTTGCTACTTTCTAAAATTTGTACAGTATGAGCTGGTGGCTGTGTCAGAGGAAGTAAATAGATTTATTCATTATTAGTCTCTTCTCCCGCTATCACGCCTTGCTCCTGCACCATTGACTAACCAGGTTACAGCTTTGCATCTGTATTGCATCCTCGCCTTTCAATGGCACAGTTGTGGAGGGACATGTCTCTAATTGCCATATACAGTGGACTTTACATCTCTGATGCTAATGGCAATTGCAGTGTATTCCTGCTGCTCAATCTCTGTGGCCCTCAGCAATACCCTGTGAACTGCAATGGTCTGTGCTTCTGTCTTAGCAACCACCATTCAGGATGGTGAATGCTGTGAGCGTACCACTCCTCCAGAACCCAAAATGGTCTCAATTATTTTCTAAGTTCAAAGGACTCTGGCCAATGTGTTTGAAAATTATTTCTTGAGGGTACGGAACTATCCCATGTGAAGGCAAGAAATTAATTATCTCAAAGTTCGACCGGGAGATATCAGCTGTATATCACAGAATACTCTGATTAATTTTGCTCTGACAACGTAGACTTGAAATTGTAATTAGAATCCGCTTTTCCATTTTCTCTTGTAACTATTGTTGAATTTTTATATTAAAATTTCACATCTTTTCAATTTCTGCCACAATTCCCCAGCCAGACCCATTTGCCAGTGCTGATCACAGTGAAATACAAAATTGCAGCTTACTTGTCTAAGGCACCTCAAAGATTGAGCTGAACCCACATAGATCCAACACATTCACTGAGGACTGTGTGAATGCCTCCTGATTTCAGGCATATAGCTGTGTACCATTAAGGGTTTGTTCAGCTCGGCTTTCTCTCTGGTTGTATTTCCAACTGAGGAGGAGTACAACTTGTGGCAAGAACCTGAGCGTTCAGTGTTTTAATATGAGGAGGTTGTGGTGCTGCAGCTACCGTATGGTTCTCCCACTCTTGCTGTCTGCTAGAGGCGTATTGGAAGATTAACTGACAATCACGCAGCTTAGCTGTGTATTGAACGTGGCATCCAGGCCTGGAGCAGCTAGAAGATTGGCCTGGCAACTTATGGATTTTTAATGACCAATCCAGAGATTATAAATTCAAATCCTACCACTGCAGATTGTTTGACAGAATAGAATAAATTTGGTTATTTGTGAACTGAACATGAAAAAAAACCATGAACATGAAAATTGCCAATTGTTATTAAAAAAATCCAACTAACTCATCCTTCAATCCAGAGAAAGGAAGCTGCCACCTCATTACTGCACTAGCCCTATTGGGTTTCATACTGCATGGTTGACCCTGGATCCCATCAGAGCAATTAGGAATGAAACCATCTTCGTTACAATGAACTAAACAAGAAAAGTCAGAAAGCCTCAAAACTATTGGAAGCAGGAAAAATTAGTTTAAGGATTCCACCACCTCTGAATGCTTGCAGATCTTCCTCGTTTCTTTGGGCACTCGTTCCATTGAATACCAAAAGGGTCAGTAATAAGGTGTGTGCTTCTAAAGGCTAGGAGCACCCACTCACACCAAAAGAATAAAACTGGTCTGGCTGTAACACGGCCCACACACTCCTGACCTTCAACCCACATAATCAGCACCTTTGACAGCCCTGTAAATATCAGGCAATGTGAAAGATCATTGGGTGAAATGAGATTCTCATCATTGTTTCCCTACTTTTGCACCCCATTGGAAGTTTGTTCTTCAGAGAGAAAGTCAGGTCATTATCCCGTTTATTGTTTCTGCTCTGTGCATGGATTTTTATGCCATAATTACATTTTAAACATTACACTCTGCATTATCAGTATTTGTTTACTGACTAGCTCTTCCACAAAAAGTACCGTTTTAAAATTGGTCAGCAGGTCTGGCAGCATCTGTGAAGAAAAAAAATCAGAGTTAACGTATCGGGTCTGGTGACCCATGGTCAGAAGTTCTGAGGAAGGGCCACCGGACCCGAAACATTAATTCTGATTTTTTTCTTCACAGCTGCTGCAAGACCTGCTGAGCTTTTCCAGCAACTTCTGTTTTTTGTTCCTGATTTACAGCATCCACAGTTCTTTTGGTTTTTACAACTTTAAAATGACCATCAAATCAATAAAGTCTTGCAATTATAAATGGTGGGTGTTAATGCTATTGAAAAACTAATATCATTAGGACAACTGATGCAAGACTTCATTAATGTCAGCTTAGGACAATTCATGGCACAAATTCAACCCATTGAGTCCATATTTGCATTTCACTTCGTTCATTCATAGGATGTGGGCTTTGCTGGCTGGGCCAGTAAGAATTGCCCATCCCTAATTGCCCTTGAACTGCCTTCTTGAACTTGTTCAGTTTCCTGAGTGTTGTTGGAGCTGCACTCATCCCAAGCAAGTGCAGAGTATTCTATCACACTCATTACTTTTGCCTTATAAATGGTTCATAGACTTTGAGGAGTCGGGAGATGAGTTACTTACCACAGAATTCCTAGCTGCTGATCTTGTAGCCATGGCATTTTGATATCTGGTTCAGTCTGTGTACGGTCGATGGCAACTTCCAAGATGGAGAACTCCACAATGGTAATGCCACTGAATGTCAAGTGGCAACGGTTAGATTTTTTTTCTTGTTGGAGTTGGTCATTGCCTGGGGACTTCTGTGGCACAGATGTTACTAGCCACTCATCAGCACAAGCCTGAATGTTGTCCGGGTCTTGCAGCATTTGGACACAGACTGCTTAAGTATCTGAGGAGTCATGAACGGTACTGAACAATGTGCAGTCATTAGCAAACATCCCCACTCCTGATTTTATCACGGACGGAAAGTCATCAGGAAGTTACTGAAAACAGTTGGGCCTAGGAGACTACCCTGAGGAAATCCTGCAGTGATATCCTCCAATAACCTCAACCATCTTCCTTTTTTCTAGATACGGCTTCAACCAGTGGAAAGTTTTCTTCCAATTCCCATCGATTTCAGTTTTTCTAGGACTCTGAGATATCACATTCTGTCAATGCAGCCTTCATGTCAAGGACAGTCATACACATCTCACCTCTTGAATTCAGTTCCTTCCTCCGTGTTTGGTCCAAGGGTGAGGAGCTGAGTGGTGTCAGTGAACAGGTTAATGTTGAGTAAGTGCTGCCTATAGCTCTGTCAGTGACACCTTCCATCACTTTGATGATTGTGTAAAGGCTGATTAGACAGTAATTGCACAGGTTGGATTTGCCCTGGTCTTTATGGACAAGACATACCTGGAACATTACCAATATTGCCAGTTGATGCCAAGGTTGCAACTGTTGGTGTGGCTAGTTCTGGGGCACATGTTTTCAGTACTGTTGTTAGAATGTTTTCAAGGCCTATAGCATTTGTAGTATCCAGAGCCATCAGTGATATCATGTGGATGAATGGAATTGTCTGAAGACTAGCATCTGTGACCTCAGAAGAAGATATAGTCCGCTTGGCATTTCTGGCTGAAGATGGATACAAATGCTTCAGCCTTATCTTTTGCACTGATGTGTTGGGCTCTCCCACCATTGAGAATGGGGATATTTGTTGGACCTCCTCCTCAATAAGTTGTTTAATTGCCCACCACCATTCAAGACTGAATTGTCCATCCCTAATTGCCTTTGGGAAGGTGTTGGTGAGCTGCCTTTTTGAACTAACAACACAGGAGGAACGCTGGGTCAAAATCCTAGAACTCCTTCACTAATAGTATTGTGGGTCTACCTACAGCAAATAGACTGCAGCTATTCAAGAAGACAGCTCACCACCTTCTCAGGGGAGGTTAGGGATGGGCATTAAGTGCTGGACCAGCCAGTGATGCCACATCCCATGGATAAATTAAAAAAGGAGTACTGACTAATTCATCAGGGGGGGTGAGCAGTGCAGTAAGTGGTAATCAGCAGGTGGTTGCTTTGACCATGTTGACCTGATGTCCTGAGACTTCATGATGAACATCTCTTTAAGGAAGCACTGAAGGTGTAAAGGGCACAGGATATACTCTGGGCGGGGGATTTCAACACTATTCGTCAGCTAAGGGAGGCCATGCAGTAGGTGGAAATCAGCAGGAGATTACCTCGGCCATGTTTGGCTTCTGCCGTTAGACTTCATGGGGTCTGAAGCCAATGTTCAGGCCTCCCAGAGCAACTCCCTCCCACATGTACACCACTGTGCTGCCACCTCTGCTGGGTCAGTCCTGCCAGTGGGGCTGCACTTTCCCAGGTGCCTGGGATGTTGTCTTTAAGGTATGGATCTGTTGTTTCTTTGTGGGACAGCTCGGCCAGTTTCACCACAAGTACCTACATCGTGTAAAATGTGAAACATGGTATCATTTTAGGGGAAAAAAATGTCTGCTGCTTCTTCAAGTCAATGTCATTTTGGAATTAATTTATTTTTCCCAGTAAAATAAATATTTTACCTTTTTATTTGGAGCCTGTTGTTGCTGAAACTCGATGCATGCTGTTATTGTGGGCTCATTGCATTGGCAGAGCCTGAACCAGATGTTTGTGGATTGACACTCAATTTATTTGGAATGTGTTTCCTGATGAGTAACATGGTGCCATAAAAGTGGTACTAATTGCATCTGTGTGTGTGTGTGTGTGTGTCTGGAGCCCGGTTACATGCTTCCTGTCAGTATGTTATTATCACCACAATTGCATATTATTGATGTTGTCAGATTTTGTGCTGTAGCCTCAGAGCTGACTGTGAATCCTAACCAGCAGGTAATCCAGAATCCTGGTTTTGTGACGGACCGGTCTTGATGATGCCTACCTTGCAGCCATCAGTAAAAGCTTGATTTCTTCCGAGACTAGGAGTCACCATTGCAAATAAGGCAGAAATATTTAATCTTCTCTTCATGCCTGAGACTGGAGCTCCAAGAATTGTGAACAACTGGTCCTTTGTGTGAAAGATACAGGATTAGCTTGAATGCTTTATAAAGGAAAGGGAAGGCTTCTAGAAATTTCTTCACCAAGTCAGCAGAGCAAATCCCTCCCTGACAAACCCTGGGGATTCGGGCCGATGGTTCTTATGGAAGCCTTAGAGCTATAGTGTGGTGATGATAGTGTGTGGGGTGAAATCCAGATGCTGCACAATGAACAGCATGTCTTACACCATGACAACCAGACTGTGAGACCATAGAGCTGTGGATCTGTTTAACCCTCGTCATTCAACTACAAGGGAGTCCTCAAGCATCCATCTTTAGCCGTGTGGGTGGGTGTGAGTGTGTTTGTGTGCGCTCTTATATGCCCCCTCTGCCAGAGGCACATAAATCATACGTAATGTGCTCAGACGTGACAAGAGTAGAATGCAGTGAGAAACAACTCTTCCAACAGTTTTGGAAAGGGACGTTACAGACAGTTGCCAGTGCAAGGCCTGCGAGTATAACCATGGAGAGCACTGAACCCAAAGAGCCTGTCAGAGCACCTGCAAACAGGTTAGTGTTGATACATCTTAAATCACTTGATGACTGTATATTAACTGGTTTCCCTTACCTGAGAATTCGGTCTTTCTTTTCTGAAAGGTAATTATATTCGGTGCTGACTTTTTGTCAGGGGAGAAGTTAACATTTTGCCATCTGTGTGTATTTTTGTTCTACATATAGTGGGCAGTTTTCCCATCACAGCATGCTACATGATAAGAAAATGTTACTGCTACATTGCATAAGCTATTCTTTTGAATCAATTGTGCTGTTTTAGGAAACACTACTGTTTTATTTTACAACTATCAAACTTAAATAAGAACTAACAGCTAAAAATAATTTAGTTTAATTTAATATCTCTAATTTCCCTTAACTTGATTGTCAGCAAGCATTTGCCAAAACTGTGCGAGTTCACCTGAGTGAAAGTGGAAGACACACTGAAGTCGAGAGGGGAAAGCCCACTCTGACCTCTGTTGCTATAATGTTTTGTGGCCATTTCAGGCCAGATGGGTCATGGGGTATAAGAACAGGCCCATTGACCACCCTTGGTCATCCGAAGGCATGGGATGTGAAAGAGAAAAAGGGAAGATTAAAAATTGGGCCTAAGCAGCCCAAAAAACCTTGCACAAACTTTCAGCAGCAGCTGGGCCTTGGGAAGATCAAACAGGGTCAGTGATGTTTCTATAAGAAATGCCAAATTGATATCTGTTAGTTAAACTGGGAATGAAGCAGGACTTAGCAGGAGTAGAATTATGTCTCAGACTAGAGAAGGCAGTGAGCATAAACTACATTTTTTCACTCTCTATGGGACAGCTGTTTCACTAAGATTTTAGTGTATTGAGATATTTGGAAGGTTTGTAGAATCAATGTATAGTGATTTCATGTTGATGAATTCCTTTATACTGCTGAATGGTGATTTTATAAATCTCAAATGTTTCAATTTTGTCTCAACAGAAAGTCACTAATCTAAGTAGAAATTCTGTGAGATATTTATTATCAGAGTGAAAATAAAACTTGCTGTGCATGTAAATCCAGTGATTTTTCCCATGCCAGTGATTAAGTATGCACCTTGGTCAAGACTGAAAAAAATCACGGGCATAACAATTATCACCTTCAACTCTCATTTTATTGTACTAGTTACAAAATAAGGTTGAAGTGGTTAAAGAATTCTGAATAAAAACAGAGAATGTAAGCAATTGACCTCAGTCATATTAGCTTCCTTTTTGAGAATGCATTACAACTCCTGCATCAATGTGAAGTGGTTCAAGTTGTAGAAGTGTTAAACATAGTGATGTAAATTGAATATTCTGGCTCTAAACGGCATAAAGTGAAACTTCCGCTTTCCCAGAATTTCTCTTTCAGTTCTGTGTCAGTTCAGATCGTGATGCTGGATCCAGGCTACATAAGGTGCAAGGGAATTCTTTGCATTGTCCTGGCCAATATTATTCCGGGTTTTGTTTTCTTAAAAAGCAGCTCTGACTATTTGTCTTATTACTGGTTTAGGACTTTGATGTGTGAAAATTAGGTGTCATGTTTTCTTATAGTATGAACAGTGATTGCTCTTCACAAGGACTTCTGAAAGTTATTATTTTAAATGCAATTATTTTGTTCTTGCTAAAAGTTTAGCATCAGTCACTGTGTTCCCCCAGCCCACATGAAAACCTTAAAAATTTTTATGTGCCCCTTGTGCTTCCTCTGCTTAGTTCCAGTTTCCATATTTCACTGTTTAAACACTGATGGGCTACAAATTGCATTTTTGGACCAACAAGTTACATATTCAAATTATAAAAACATTAAGTTTTGGAGATTCTCAGTAGATCTGGCAATGTCTATGGAGAAAGAAACAAAATTGGTTTTTCAGTTCTGTAACGTTTCATCAGAAATGGTCAAACATTTTTATGCTAACTGTGATAGTAGTCTGAATGCTTCCCAAAACCCAAGAGATAAAATGGGTCAGTCCACAATGGTCATTCCATGTTCCAACCCCCACAACATTTTCATCGGATGTACACGGATAAAATTGGAGCTAAGGATTCCCACGTACTAAGTATGTCCAGTTTATTTTGAGTTTGCAGCACACTGTAGCCTGTATATCAGTCAAATGATGCACTAACTGCACTGACCTTCAAGCAATGGCCTCTGTGTGGATTTTTATCTTTTTTTAATTCATTCATGGAATGTGGATGTTGGTTAGGCTAGCATTCATTACCCATCCCTAATTGCCCTTGAGAAGATGGTGATGAACCTCCAGATCAGTAATTAATTTAGTATTGAGAAAAGAAGAAGCAGCAGCAAAAATCATTAATGTGGCATTTCTAGTATGAGTGAGATCTAATGTTCTTTAATAAATGCAGTCTTGATCTCAATATCACTCCAAGTTAGTTCCCATTTGAATATTTTCAGACCCTCAGATTATGACTAAAACTAATCAGAAGTATTCTTAAGAGTGCTATTTTGATGAGTTCGGCTCAAGCCTCTGACTGTGATTGCAAAACAGGAAAATATCTCATTATTTTATTAACTTCTATCAGGTTGCCTCTCAACCTCCTGTGCTCCAGTGAAAAAACCGATCTAGCCTTTCTTTGTAACTCAAACATTCCGTACCCTCGAACATGCAGATAGATCTCTTCTGAACTCTCTCCTGCTTCGTTATATTCTTCCTATAACTGGTTGACCAGAACTGGACGCAGTATTCCAGAAGAACCCTCACCAATGCCCTATACAACCTTAACTGTTAGCTATCTGTGTTATCATCGGGCTGTTCTATCCATTTGCCATACTGTTTTTTAATTTGAGACAAAGTCAGGGTACTCAGCCGACACGACAGAGAGAAATATACAGTATGGACAGATGAGGGAATTTATATATGGAGTGCAACAGCCATAAAATCACAGGAAGCATTATTATTGTGGGAAGAATAAAAGTTGTCAGGAAAACAAAGTGGCATAATAAATGTCTAGAAGAATCCACACATAAAATCACAGGGTGCGTCAAAAAGAAATCATAAAACTTACTGAAGGAATACAGTAACAAGTGATGTGTTTTGTAGCACCTGCCAGTCAAAATATTAGAGTTAAAATCATTAGTGCTGCTGATTAGAGGCAGGATATTCAATGGATAGGATGGACTACTGATAAGATAGGTTTTCTGATTTTCTATTTAATTTAATATTAACCAATTTTTCAATTAGCATTACCACACATATGTGTGATAATTACTTCCTGGCACCATCAGGTTAGGTTGATGTTTTTCTGACACCCAAAGTATCAGGTAGTGACTTCCCATTTGTCTGGTTAATGGAAGGTTTTAAGGTTTTGTAAAGGGGATCCTGGCTCCTTAATGATTTTCTAAGCTTGGGCAAATACCAAAACACTCTTCCACAACAGATTTCCACTCCATTAATCCTGTCCTCACATTTACAGTCATGGACTCATACAGCACGAAAACAGACCCTTCAATCCAACCGTTCTGTGCCAAACATAACTCCAAACTAAACCAGTCGCACCTGCCTGGTCCTGGGCCATATCCCTCCAAACCTTTCCTAACCATGTATCTATCCAAATGTCTTTTAAATGTTGTAATTGAACCTGCATCCACCACTTCCTCAGAATGTTCATTCCAAACACAAACCACTCTCTGTGTAAAAAAAAAAAAAAAAAAAAAAAAAATGCCCCTCGTCTTTTTTAAATCTCTCTCCTCTCACCTTCAAAAATGTGCGCCCTTGTCTTGAAATCTCCCATCCAAGGGAAAAGACAACTACCATTAACTCTACTGTATCTCATTATTTTATTAACTTCTATCAGGTTGCCTCTCAACCTCCTGTGCTCCAGTGAAAAAAGTCTCAACCGATCTAGCCTTTCTTTGTAACTCAAATATTCCGTACCCTCCAAAATGCAGATAGATCTCTTCTGAACCCTCTCCTGCTTCATTATATTCTTCCTATAACTGGTTGACCAGAACTGGACGCAGTATTCCAGAAGAAGCCTCACCAATGCCCTATACAACCTTAATATAACATGCCAACTCCTATACTTAAAGGACTGAGCAATGAAGGCAAGTGTGCCAAATACCTTTTCAACCACCCTGTCTGTATGTGATGTAAACTTCAAAGAATTATGTGCCTGCACCCCTAGGTCCCTCTGTTCTACGACACTATCCAAGGCCCTACCGTTTAACTGTATAAGCCCTACTCTTGTTTGTTGTACCAAATCACAATACCTTGCATTTATCCAGATTGAACTCCATCTGCCATTTTTCAGCCCATTGACCTATTTGATTAAGATCCCTTTGTAATCTTAGGAGACTGTGAAGAATGTTTCCTATGCCACCAATTTTGGTGTCAGCTGCAAACTTACTAACCATGCCTTCTACATTCTCATCCAAATCATTTATATAAATGACAAACAAAAGAGAACCAGAACCGATCACTGTGGAACAACGCTGGTCACAGGCTTCCAGTCTGAAAAGCAATCCTCAACCATGCACTGTCTCTTGCTGCTATGCCAATTATGTATTCACTTGGCAAGCTCACCCTGAATCCCATGTGACCTAACTTTACTAATTAGCCTACCATAGGGAGCCTTGTCAAAGGCTTTACTAAAGTCCAAATAAACAACATCTACCGCTCTGCCATCATCAACCTTTTTGGTAACTTCCTCAAAAAACTCAATCAAGTTTGAGAGACACAATTTTCCTTGCACACAATCATACTGACTATCCCTGATCAATTTTTGCTCTCTAAATATCCATAAATCCTATCTTTTATAATCACCTCCAACAACTTGCCCACAACTGAAGACAGACCCACAGATCTATAGTTCCCTGATTTCTCCTTACAACCCTTTTTAAACAACATTAGCTACCCTCCAGTCATCAGGCAGTATAGATAATTCAAATATTTCTGCAAGGGGTCTCGTAATTTCCTTCCTTACATCCTACAGTGTGCTGGGATACATTAGATCAGGTCTCGGAGATTTATCCATCTTTATATTCTCTAAGACCTCCCGAACTTCCTC